AAGGTTGCAAAGGTCAGGTTTCTAGCAATCAGGGTCACACCTCCGAACCGATTGTTTCAAGGTCGTTTAGCCCAGAAAGAAGGCGGTGATGGGGGGTGGGTGAATCACACAGAGGATCGAAAGGATATAACGCTCATTCGCTACAGTAAATTACGGCCGTTGTTCTGCCCTCCCCGCGATGATGTCAGCCGCTCTCGAGTGACTGTGAGCGCATATATATTAGGTGGTTGGTTGAATGCCCGTTTGCTGAGCCACGCCGAGGAAGTACGCCAAGCCGCGCAAAGCCACCGCGCCCGTACGGAGAGAGATGGAATTCATCAAACTCAACGACAGCGACTGGCTGAGCCGCTACTACGCCAGGAAATCGGTGCTGCAGCCGGTATGGGACCACCTGCGCCTCAACTACACCGACCTGCTGCGCTCTCCCCTCTTCCCGGTGGTCTTCAACGTCGCCTTTTACCTCTTCTGCTGCCTCTGCTACATGCCCTGTAACCTCCTGGGCAAGCGCTGGGCTTTCGTCCACCGCTACAAGATCCAGAAGAACACTCAGCCCACGCGCACGAACTTCGCCAAGTGCTTCTGGCTCACCGCGTACAACCACTGCGTCTTGATCTTCCCTGCCGGAGCAGCGCAATGGTACTGGAGGCCACCGATACCCCTACCCGAATTGGCGCCAAACCTCGGCGATTTAATGATGGGCGTGGTGGGGTGCCTGCTCCTCTTCGACTTCCAGTACTTCGTGTGGCACATGGTGCACCACAAGTTCCGGTGGCTCTACAAGACCTTCCACGCCGTGCACCACGAGTTCATGTCGCCCTTCTCGTGGTCCACGCAGTACCTGGGCTGCTGGGAGCTCTTCGTGGTGGGCGCCTGGACCACGATCGACCCCGTGCTGCTCCAATGCCACCTGCTCACCACGTGGATCTTCATGGCGTTCCACGTGTACACCTCGGTGGAGCAGCATTGTGGCTACGACTTCCCCTGGTCGACGCGCCACTGGTTACCCCTCGGCCTCTTCGGCGGCTCGCTCCACCACGACATGCACCACCAGAAGCCCATGTCCAACTTCGCGCCGCACTTCAGCCACATGGACAAGCTCTTCGGGACCTTCTCCGAGTGCGTGCGCATCCCGGAAGGCGAGAAGCCCGTCCAGGAGACGCACGCCACCGTGCATTCGTGCGACAAGTCCGAGTTCAACTTGATGCAAGTGTTTGGGAAAACCGGAGAGGAGAAAAAACTGGCTTGAACATTTTTGGCTCCGACATCGGCAGCAGCAGCAGCAGCACCCCCCCCGCCCCCTCCATGAGCACGGTTGGCTAAGTACGGCGCGAAAGGTCAGCATACATACATAGCGGTAGCAGCACGTGATTTGCGGCTACAGATTCAGGGTGAGAAGTGAAAATTAATTCGGCCTGAGGTCTTCTCAGATTCGGGCGATGAGTCGTCACACGCGTGCACTTATTGGTGATTGGAACACCAAAGGCAACGTGTGCGATGGTGACGATGGTGATGATGGTGATGATGGTGATGCACCAGTGCTGGGCTCCCACCGGATCGGTTCTGTTGAGAAACTGTGTGGGCCGCGGGCGTCAGTTTTGGCGGAGAACGCACCGACGATGAACGATGATGAAGATGATGACGACGACGCTATGGCCAGCGCCTTTCAATTTCTCAACTAAATCGACCCGATTACGCGTTAGCAACCGCGGGACCGGACAACCCATAGCTGGAATTCATTGCCTCCTCATCCTGGAGCTACGATCCATGCCACTGTTGCTCAAATGTTCGCAAGAAGTGACCCCTGCTCGGGTTGCGCGAGAGGCAGCCTCTTCCTGAAATGCACAGTTATATGACGTCTCGAAAACGCATTTCTCAGATTGCGTAGGGGGTTTTAAGTGGATTGTTTTATTCGTGAAAGTTTAAAGTAGCAAGCAGCGCTGTTGAGTAATGTGAATGTTCTATTAAAATCCGAGTGGACAGATCTGATGCAGCACTGCGTAGCGCCAGTGAAAATATGAAGTAGCAATCTGATGCGATCTTGTGAAAATGTGTTCCTTCAGTAAATACCGATTTTGTAAGTGTATGTGAAACGTGTACACAAACGACATTGTTTTTACACCATCAGTACTGGCATAACACTACAAGTAAAATTTTAACGCGTAGGCTTTTGCGATCATTATTATGATTGATGATTTTTTTTAGTTCAGGTTGCGTGAGTAAAATGTGTGTCGTACACCCTCCTCCACCAGATACAACCAATTAATAAAGTTGTCACGTGAACAAATGTGTCAGTGTTTTACTATTTCAGCAGCGCACCAGTATGGGTACCCAATAGTTAAATACGTGTGGAGGGGCGCCACGGTGGCTAGGAGATGTTAACTACCTCGCCTGGTGTACAGGAGGGCGTGGGTTCGATCCCGACTCTGACGCCTGCTGTATATTTGGAGTTTTGGTGTCTCGGTCTCTCATAATCATCACGGTGGCCAGGAGATGTTAACTACTTCGCCTGGTGTACAGGAGGGCGTGGGTTCGATCCCGACTCTGACGCCTGCTGTATATTTGGAGTTTTCGTGTCTCGCTCTCTCATCATCATCACGGTGGCTAGGAGATGTTAACTACCTCACCTGGTATACACGAGGACGTGGGTTCGATTCAGGTGGGAAAGCCTTAAATAGAGAGGGGGGCAGAGAGAGAGAGGTGGGTCTGCTAGATTAACATTTTTTTTTATATTTCTGGCCCTCAAACGTCAAGTGGCAGACAGAAGGACCCTTCGAGTTTAAAACTACATCCATTGCCATTCCACCACAGCAAAGCACTGTACTAAGAGAATACAGTCCTTTATATTCTGCAGATTGTGTTATTCCGCGTTTCCCAACCAATAACACTCCAACTGGGCAGTCGACATCACGTCACAAAGCAAAGACATTTTCACATGAAATTCTTGCTGGAGAGCGGTCCTCACCATCCTGTTAAAGAAACATGTCACTAAACCTAGTGCACTCGGTGACTTCAACAGGGCTATTCCACACAAGGGGCATGTCACTTTTTCGTTTATCACGTGTCAAACATTTTTTTAATGGCATATGCTGACTTTTTTTTTGTATGTGATGGCAAGTCACTAGGAAACTGCTCAAGACCAATTACGGTACACTCGGGAGGGCCAGATTACGGGGTTGGTTGACCCAACCCAAATTCTCAACGGTGCCACCTTTCAAGCTCAAACGCAAGCAGCATGCAACGAAACTGTCAACGGTTACTTTAACGACCCCAACGGCGATAAGCTCACACGATAAGCTCACACGCGTTAGCAGTGGGCGCAGCGCAAAGTTTCATTTGGAATAAGCGATAAAGGATTTATTTTTAGTTTTTCTCTTTCGTGTAGTCGTGCCGTTATTGAGCGTGCAAAAAAAGACAAAGCTCCCCCATTTAGCCTTAACAGACTGTAGGGGCAAGTGCTGTTAGCGAGCACCTATAAAGGCCGGCACGGCACACGAGGGGGTGGGTGGCTAACACCACGCCCGGCCCGCCTTTGTCTCCCTAGTGACAATGTTTACACATTGCACCAGGTACTCATTTGAGGCTGAGTCGACCTAGGGGAGGCCCACCAGGACCGGTTCAGATAATCGTCACTGGTGTTGGCCGTGAGCGGGAATCGAACCCGGGTCGCCAGGTTCATAGCGCAGTGTGCTAACCACTACACTACTGCTCCCCACCAAGGGACGCACGCTTCACATCCATGGACTGCAGCGGCTTGAGCTCTAGTCGCGTAGGGGCAGGGGGTGCCTTGCCTCCCCTCCTCCCTGGTGACCAAAGCTACGAGTTGGTGGGACCCCCTTGACAACCACCATGTTTTCAAAGGCAGTGTAAAAAAAAAGTAATTTAAAACGCGGCTTAAATGTTTTTTTCTGAAAATGCTTTCATTTACGTTCCACGTTTTACTTTAATTTAATAAGAGCGGCAACGTTCGGTTTCCAATAATCAAATATTGCAGGCCCTACCTGACGGATTGCCGTACCCCTTGAGCCGATGTCGTTACTACCCGACTGGGCAGCACTGTTTTAATTCGTTGTCATGGACCATACAAGCCGCATCACACGACCGACAACGGAGTTGATGAGCATAATGGCAAATAGGCATTCACGTATCAAAAAAACACAAGACATTAAAAGCAGAGTGAGACTTTAGAAATGAAAGCGCCAGCACTGCCACCGTTCCGACGGATTAGCGTTTCACGCCCGGTGTGTGGAGCACTCTCAACCACGTGCAGGAGGGATACCTGTAACCCGGATGACAAGTTGGAGGCAGTGGCCTGCACTCCACGCTCAGCAAACAGGGCAACTACCGACTCCGAGAACCCGGTGGGCGAGGGGACGACATCAGGAAGCCACTGGAGCTATGCACTTTTAAATCTAGGCTGAAAATATTATATTTCTTTAAAACTGTTTTGTGTATTTGGTTTGTTGTCCTTCCACCGCAACCTCAAATTAGTACGGTTGGATACATATGGTGCAAAAGACGTTTAAAATGCATTACATAAACCTTGGTATAATTCTGCACCCACAACAATTTTTGTTGCTGGAAAAAAGTGTAACATTAGACATGAGTAGGCAGTGTGAATAGGCAGTTAGAGCAAATAATTGATTAAATGTGTCAATTCTATTGGCCAATATACCAATAAGACTAACAAGAGTGTTTTATATTCTTTGGGTCTTTCGGTAAAGTCATGTAGAACAAAACAATTTACAAAAAAACTACGATTGCTTGTGTTGCGATCGAAATGTCGTGGCTTTTTGTAAAAAAAAAACATTTGTTCTAAGTGACTTTACCGAAAGACCCACAGAATATGAACTCCTGCAGTCGCGAAAGCTTTAAGTCGCGATTTAAGAGTGCTTTATATTAATACGTGGAGTTTTAGAACGGAGCCCAACTGATTTATTTCAATGTCACTTAAGTCACGTAATCCAACCAAAAAAAACCCAACAAAAACCAACACCACACGGTTCACTGTCGGTAAAGTTTTATTTTGCTTTCCTTGCGCACATAAATACGGTCGGTTCTCATATGACAGACGTGGTGCGTGTCTGAAAATTGGATTGAACCCCTTTCGAGGAAACACTTCAGCAATGTTTTCCAAATGTGCATGAGGTCAAGCATCGAATGTGGACAGGAAGGACGTCACGATCTGCTTCAGCTTCACGTCCGTTGCGTCGGAGATCTTACCCTCAGTCCTGACAGCAAGAGAAAACAAAAGGTTAAAAAAATGTCGTGGACCATTCAAACAGAACGTTCCAAGTGTCACCAGGAGATGTGCAACGATTCACGATTTCGGTCCAAGAATCCGTTCCCTGAAGCTCGTTTGTCCCATGCCGTTTGTTACATCGGCGCGATGGTAACATCAGCTTATAATCTTGCATGTAACGCTGAACTTCTTTCGCAATTGGCATAAAATAAGAATAGATTCTAACGAGAAAATTTGGGAGTGTAAGAACAACAACACTATAACCTCCGATTAACACGGTTGGATGCGTACAGTTCGAAAGAAGTTCAACATTCACACATATAACTCGAAGAGGAAACGCATGATTACTTTTAAGAATGGAATTAAAAAGGGAGTTTTTTTTTAATTGCAACCTCAACGATTGCTCTGCAATACCATAAACAATATTAGTACCACGCCCATTTTGAAGGTCACTCCAAAGACACAATGCACGACAGTGTACACATTAGAAGACCGACGCATTAAAAACGACGAGACTCTCTCTCATTCCACACGACAAGAACGCGCGATCCAAAGGGTCATCTCGAACGTGAACCTGGCGTCTGTTAGGCCCGGGGGTAGACCTACCGGATGGTGGCGAGCACCTCCTTCTGCTGGCTCTGGATGTGCAGCAGGAAGGCACTCTCAAACTTGGTGATCTTGCTGGGCTCCAGCTTGTCGAGGTAGCCACGCACGCCCGCGTAGATTATCGCCACCTGCTCCTCGATGGCCATGGGAACTGCTCGCAGTGTGGAGAAACGAGTGGAGGGGTAGGGGGGCGGAACAAACGGAAGGGAGTTAACGGCACAGACGGTTGGGGGGGGGGGGGGGAGGCGTTCCATGCTTGTAATACATATGCATTAATTCCACATCTCCATTTGTTAGCAAGAAGTCCCCTTCACTTTCACAGTACCACAGTGGCGAGATGTTAACTCCCATGCCTGGGATACAGGGTTTTGATCCAGACCCTGAGTTTGCATGTCCTCCCCGTGGTGGTGTGCCTTTTCTCCGGGTCCTCTATTTTTTTTCCCCTCCACATTTAGAATTATCATGCGTTTAGAGAATTCGGCTGCTATAAATTTCCACATGTTAATCCACTTCATTGAGCCATGATTTGTTGCCAAGTCGCTTCTGAAAAAGAGCTGTAGAAAGCTCAGTGGGCCTTACCTGGTAATACCAGAATAGTTTAAGCGTCTATAAAAAAAAACAGCATGCCCTGGAATCCTTGAACTCCCCCCGCATGGTTCGGTCCACCTTGGGGGGGGGGGGGCGATGCAGGGATGTGACACAAGGGACGCACCGTACTGGCCCTGCTTGAGCAGCTCGGTGAGACGCACGCCGCGGTTCAGAAGCTGCTGAGTGGACGCGTCGAGGTCAGAGCCGAACTGGGCGAAGGCGGCCACCTCACGGTACTGGGCCAGCTCCAGCTTCATGGAGCCGGCGACCTGGGGCAGACGGGGAACGCACGGATGGTTAACGCACACCGCCCGTTCCACGCCGTGGACGACATAGAACTTCCGCTCTCACGCGAGCCACGCAAATGTCCCGTGGGCAGCGGCGGTGGCCGGCACCAAGCCTCTCGTTTCCGCACCGGAGAAAGTTTACACAGCACACGACGATAAAAGTGGGGAACTTACGGGCACAGAGGCCGGGATTCATCCCTCCTGGCCTGCAATTCATGTTAATCCGTCAATGCGGGCATCTAAGCCGCATCAATCGGGTACCAGAGCGGACTGTCTTTGACCTGGCAAGAACACTGTTAATAATTTTTTTGCAGTCAGTCACTTCTGACAAGACAAAAAAGTGACCGAGGTGTGTGTTAATCATTGACCTCCCTTTAGAGGTATTTTTTAAGTCCCTATTTGGCCCTCAGAAAGTAAAAGGTTACCCACCTCTGCTGTACATTCACGGCCCAGTTGACCTGGAGGCAGCTCGGGACGGGTTCACGTAACAATTTGCCATGTTGCAAACCACTGCACAATCTTTACTGCCACCTGGTGGTAGGTGACTTGAAGTACCACACACCTCGCAAGCGCCACAGGTGTCTCAAAGCGTTATGGCGCCATTTGTTGTTGTTGCTAGATGCGATATTCAGTGATGAAATTCCACTACGTCACAAAGACATTGCACTCCTGTTGTCAGATATCCAGGAATCTACTGGATATCTCTGAAAAATAACTTTATAGTTCATCGGACTCCTCCAGTGTAAATATTCTGATTCCACTGCTGGATGAGGGCCTCCCCATGCCGTGTGGGAGATATTTGACCATCTTCCGCCATGCTGATCAGTGCGGGTTTGTGAAGGTGAGGAGCACGAAAGGGACATAAGCATAGTACAAAACCATACGCTATCCTCTACTATCCACCACGTAGCTCATGGGCAGCATACACCTTCGTGTCAATATTCATGGTGGTCGCCCATTCGAGGCAATAGCCAGATATCAACCATGCCTAGCTTCCGAGAGCCGATGAGATCGGCTGCGTTGCGGGCAACTTGGTTGTAGCCGTTGCTCTGAACACGTCGGGGATAATTCACCTGCTTCATGGCCTTGGTTTGGGCAGCCGATCCCACACGCGACACGGACAGACCGACGTTGATGGCTGGCCGGATGCCCTTGTAGAAGAGCTCAGTCTCCAGGAAGATCTGTGGATGAGAAGAAACAGCCACCAAAAAACGAATTACAACCTCTCACAACCAACTCAGTATAAACCAACACTTAATTAAAATTCATAACTACTAAATTGGATATATATACACAACAAAATATTTGCTATTCCCACATACAGCATTAGAGATTGTAAAGGCCAAGTACTGTTAGCGAATATCTACAAAGGCCAGCATGACACAGAAAGGGGTTGTGTCGCCAGCACTCTGCTTAACATTTCCCATTCCGACGACGTTCATGCATGTCATCAGTTTTTCTTCCGATTCTGTTCTGATGACGTATGTGTACTTTATCGGTACCGAGGCTCCCACAAGGCAATCCGGGGGGGGGGGGGGTTGGCATGCGGCACAGAGTGCGGTGGTCGTGTCGCTACAGTTCTCTGCGGTGAGTACGATGTCTTTAAAAACAACGGCGCTACGCCTCTCTGAATAAAATTAACGCCAACAGCTCGCGCGTCCGGAGATTCAGCAGTGAACGGGACCCACAATGCAACTTGCAGGCAACAAGGTCTCAAGAACTGAGCCAGCTGTTTCAAGTCGGGGATAATGACCTTGGCTCTTCTTGCCTGCCTATGACCGACCGCCTCCTTCTCACTATAAACATGCCCAACGTTTCTCTACAGCGTCTTGAGATGCAGTCGCATTTTGACGCCGTACGCATCCACGTCGTCGCATAAACCTGAGAGGCACACGAGCAAGGCACACCTGTCCATCGGTGATGGAGATGACGTTGGTGGGGATGTAGGCAGACACGTCGCCGGCCTGGGTCTCGATGACGGGCAGAGCGGTGAGGGAGCCGCCCTTGAAGTTGTCGTTCATCTTGGCCGCGCGCTCCAGCAGACGCGAGTGCAGGTAGAACACGTCGCCGGGGTAGGCCTCGCGGCCCGGGGGGCGACGCAGCAGCAGCGACATCTGACGGTAGGCCACAGCCTGCGGGACGCGACACAAAGATCCCCCACCACGTAGCCTCAACAGACTGTTGGGGAAAGCGCTGTCAGCGAGCACCTATGAGGCCGGCACTGTGGCACACGAGGAGGTGTGGGTGGCCAGCACCACGCCCAGGCCACCTTTGTCTCCCGAGTGACGATGTTTACACAACCGCACCAGGTACTCATTTGAGGCAGAGTTGACCTAGGGGAGGCCCAGTACCGGTTAAGATAATCCTCACTGGTGTTGGCGTGAACGGGTGCAACACGCACGCACACACACAGAGACGCACGGCAAGTATTTGAAAGTTGTGCAAATGTTTCTTTGCTGTGTACTAGACATGTACCGATTCACCCCCCTAACCCGCTCGCTCCCAGAGATTTGGTGAACGGTCACACGGTTAAATTCATGCACAGTTCAATTCAAGAACCATTAAATGCCTGTGCCCGTTTGTGATTTCTGTGCTGTTTATACAGCTCTCTTCCCAATGCAAACTTTGCACCTAAAATGTGCAAATATCAAACAGCTGATTCTTACGCGTACAACTCGATGAAAAGTGAGCGCAAGAGTTTACATTTCAATCAATTTACTGGCGCATCATTACATGCCCTGTGTACACTACGTGATTATTCACACACTCAGATAGCCAACTCAAAGCGTTGCTCTCGTGAGCATGGCGAAGGGGCCTTTATCTCCATGGGCGACCCCCGAGCTGACGGGGATGAAGGAGTGCGAGCGTTTGCGCGCACCTGCTTGGACAAGTCGTCGTAGATGATGAGCGCGTGCTTTCCGTTATCGCGGAAGAACTCGCCCATGGAGCAGCCCGAGTAGGGAGCCAGGTACTGCAGGGGCGCGGCGTCAGAGGCCGTAGCCGACACCACGATCGTGTAGCGCATTGCGTCTGTAAATCGGCCAAGCCATCAACGGGCAATTAAACTGGACGTCCGTCTACAGGTGTCTGACCATGAACAAAAAAGAGGTAAATGGGCTTGGGGAGCATAAGACGCTCGAAGGGATGATGGCCAAGACTACGCATTTAGAATCAAAATGCGTTTAGAATATTTGGCAGCTGTACATTTCATTCGTGATCGCCAGGTGGCTTCTGAAAGAGCTGCATACAGCTCAGTGGGCCTTACCTTGTAAAATAAAAATAATTTCTAGTTTTAGTTTTTACTCATGTCTGAGTAGCGGCCAAAGGAGGAAATGTGGCAGAGAGCACATCTAGTGCGGAAATGGTGATATCAAATAAGCCCATGTGCAGGATACAGATGGATAACTAACATTGCAGGACAGTGAGACAGCAGTGAGAGTTTGGGGAGGCATTCATCGAGCAGTGGATTGATCGTGACTGAAAATGGTGCATCGCTACAGCTCATCGAGACAACCTCTTTAAATGCACAGTGCCAGTTAGTGCTATAAGTAACAAAAGTCAGCTCGTCATGTGATAGATTACAAGGACATATTTTCAGTAAATATCAATACGTACGACCGATTGCGACCGAGCGACCCATGAAAGAATAAGAACCAGAAACGTTATCATTTTATCTGAACGGTGGGTTACCGAGCATTATTAGTCTTATAGGAGTTGGCGGTCGTGCAGCAGAGGTTGTGGGAAGTTTTACCAGCGTCTGTGAGCCTCTTCACCAGCTGGGCCACGGTGGATCGCTTCTGACCGATGGCCACGTAGATGCAGTACAGCTTCTTCTTTTCATCCGTACCGTCGTTGAATCGCTTCTGGTTGATGATGGTGTCGATAGCAATGGCCGTTTTCCTGTAAGAAACCAGAATAGTGCGTAGCACAAATACAATTTTCAGACCTCATGTCCTTAACAAATTAAGACTCATAACTTTTCACCCTCTTTAAGATTTATGAACAGTATAACCATTTTTGAAGCCCTATATGTATGAATGTTGAACTTCTTTCGCACCGTACGTAGCCAACCGTGCTAATCGGATATGTATCCGTTTATAAACAAGGCAAGCAAGCCTGCTCATCTCTGAGAGTAACGGCTATGGTTGTTGGCTGCCAAGCCACATTAAACGAGAAGCATCGTCCCTCTGAGAAAGATAAACAGTGAAAATGTCGAACAGCCCAGAAGGGTTCCTTGTTACACACCCGGTCTGCCGGTCTCCGATGATGAGCTCGCGCTGTCCACGGCCGATGGGCACCAGGCTGTCCACGGCCTTGATGCCTGTCTGCATGGGCTCGCGCACGGAGATGCGCGGGATGATGCCCGGAGCCTTCAGCCCCACGCGGCGACGCACCTTGGCGCCAAGCGGACCCTGTCGAAAACAAACGCCAATTTTTACGACTTGTTCTGGACGGCGTTCGGCCAGGCCCTCGGTCAGAAACTCGACTTATTCGAGAAAAAACAGGGCGATGTTAATTCAAGTAAAGCCAAGTTATTTCGCCTACTTTTATTTTAATGATTTTATTTCAACTCAACGTGAGCCCGCTACAAAGTACCGATCACAGAACAAGAAGGGGGTAAGAGGGCAGATCAGTGCGGCAGGGGGGAGATAGGGCTCACCCAAGTGGGGGGCCTCTAGCAGAGAAGTAAAAGTTCAGATGGGGGGGGGGTTAAAGGGAAGGGAGGAAGATATCTAATATAAGAGGGGACAAGGGGGTCAGGAGGGGGGAGGGGACGAGGGTGTGGGGGGAGGGATTTCGTCTACTTCTTAATGAAAACTAATTGAACGTGACAGCATTTCTCAAGCGGTGCCCTGACCTTCCCATCGATGGCGTTTCCCAGGGCATCCACGACGCGTCCCAGCAGTTCCTCTCCGACCGGGACGTCCACGATGGCCCCGGTCCGCTTCACCACGTCGCCCTCCTTGATCAGCTTGTCATTACCGAACACCACCACGCCCACGTTGTCGGGCTCCAAGTTCAAGGCCATACCCTGTGGACCAAATCACGAAGCTCTTGTCACCATCTGCCATGGTCAATACACTGCCGGGTGAAGGCCTCCCCAAGTCGTTGCCATGGTCTCACAATGCTGCAATAGTCCACCAAGCAAAGGCACACAAGGTGATTTGCAGTGGACTTCCCCCTGGAAGCCGTCAATTCCTTGGCTGCCACACTGTCGCTATTCTTGATCATCGGTCATCACCCTCTTCTAGCGACGTATTCCTCCTCAAACCCGCTAACTGTTCAAAACGGTTTAAATTATGCCATTAACCTTCATATGTTCTCGAGTTGTTCATTTCGATACCCAATATAAGAAGCTGCCATCACACAACTACTTCTTGAATCCTGTTAATGCACCTCTATATCAACACTCGGTGGCACAACTGCCCAGATGCATTGCAGAGTGTTTGTCACGTCAAACATAAATGTATGTTGAACTTCTTTCACACTGTACGTACGTAGTCAACCGTGCTCATCGGAGGTGTAGGGGAAGGATAACAGACTGAACACAAAAATCAATTTTAAAGAAATGAGATTTCAATCTTGATTTGAAAGTGCATAGCTCCAGTGGCTTCCGAATGTCGAAAGCAAGAGCATTCCAGACGGCCGCAAAAGCGCATCTGAAAGCGCACGATGCAGTGACCGTCTTTGTTCGATGGCGAGCCAAAAGCCGCTGCTGCGAGCTTGACCGGAGTTCACGTGATGGTTTATGCTCCTTGACTAGATGGAAAATGCCAATTAAGTAACGCAATATGACATTATGAGCCTGGTTTAATTGCAGGCGATTGAAACTAGGATTTAAACCCAGGATCTAATTAGTGCCAGGCCAATTCCTCTGATGCAGTATAAGCCTCCTTGAGCCGCCCAGCCGCCTGCAGTGAGCAACTCTGTGGCCCTGTGATCCACCTCACTTACGTGCCGGCTAACCCAATGGGCAATATCCCACCTGATCTTCTTTAGACATCCTGGCTTTGCCTTGTTCTTCTACATATTTTATAAGATAACGGTTTTAATTTCCTTAAAAGTTCAAGACAGGAATGGGAAGGCAGCATAGTTAATCTGTCCCTGTTTAAAAAAAAATCAATAAAACTACGATAAATTGAACTCCAAGAACTTGGTTATTGTAAGTAATTTAAATATAAAGTCTTTAAATAGTTTACAAAATTAATTACACTGCCATTTATTTACCTATTTATTGAAGACACTTTCAGATTTGGCATGCATTGGGCCATTTTAAACCGGAGCAAACCGGAGTGCCCAGAAAAAAAATCTGCCACGCATATAAGAGAAAAGGTGTGCAGCGATGATTTACTAACCCACTTGCTGTGCTGTCATTTCCTTGCTAGCTCGCAACCCAGCTGAATTGAGAAATTTCACAACTCTATGCGATCCATAGACCCTTGCCTCTAAGGTTCTCAAAGTGTGGTCCACGATAGTCCTCCAGGTGGTTCCGTAGGCTGTGATGCAAATGCAGGTTGATCCGGAAATAATGACAATGTTGATACGTTTTGTTTTGGACATTAATTAATATTTTACTTACGATATTTTATCTTAAAATAAAGTTACGTAAACTACCCTGATTAAACTACCATAGCCCTACGATCTAAATGACACATCCAGAAAAAATCTTATAGCTGCATTGAAACAAACACTTTTTTTTGTTCTAGTAATATAAATAATTTTGTACTACTGGTATTTAGAGAGATAGGCGAATGCCTTTGGTCACCAGGAGTGGGCGGCTGTGTGGTCTGCGGAAATGTTTGCAGCGGCTAAGTGGTCCGCACGCCAAAAAAAATTGAGAAACACCGCTCTAAAGCATTGAATCACTATGCCCGGCGTGCTTGCCAAAGCTCCGGTCGAGGTCCGTTTCTGAGAGATCAAGGCACGACTCCGCGTGTATCGCATCGCCATACCTTCAGGCCGGAAGAGAACTCCACCATCTCCTCAGCCTGGATGTTCTTGAGGCCGTAGACACGAGCAATACCATCTCCGATGGACAGCACACGGCCTGTCTCCTCCAGCTCAGCTGACATATCTGTTCCCAGGATCTTATCCTCCAGGATTGACGACACCTCAGCCGTGCCTGGGCAAAACAACATTTCCAATAAAGTTACAAACACCAGTGCCCCGATGTCTCTGGGGCCAATTGCTGTTGATGCGAGGTCCCAGTGTTGTTCTCTCCTACGTTCCTACTGCCTCTACTACCACTCCTCCTTGTTAACTCTCATGTGCTTTTCTTTTTCAAAAGCTTCTTGAGAAACGACTATATTTAAATATAAAAGGCTGAAAATTGATTAATTTAGAATTATATAGCCGATTTGTGCGATGGTAAGTAAGCATGCTTAAATCAATATTAGAAGGCTTTGAGTTCAAAGCCTACTTGGGCAGCCAAATCAGTCTATCATAGGTTTGGGTTGATACAATAACTACCACGCTGTGGCAATTTAAGTGGTAAACACATTTGGCAGACTTGTCACTGCCATAGGAATGTGTAATTTCCACCAGTGACTTTGTCCTACCAACGTTGGAAATTAAATGTCACTGACACTTACATTTAATTGCAATGTTTGGTGACGTATTTTTCACTAAGCCTGAATTCTGGGTTAGTAATTCAGTCCAGTCTATGAATTAAACTTGTCTGGGAGAATTAGCATATTATGGGCTCTAGTATAAAGAGTTAACCCAAGTACAGACTTACGTTCTGTGGTTTAAAGAAAATAGTGCACAAGCTTCCTGATGGAAAGCCACACAAACGAAAAGCTCGAATACTGTACTCCAGAAAATAGTCCAAGGTCATTAGTCCGAATGCCCCTTTGCTGTGACACGGTCACAGGCACGAAGGTGAAACCAGCACTGCCCTTACCGATCTTCTGGAAAGCTGCAGCGGAAGAGTGGACATCCCTGCTGGCCACAAACCCAGCTCCCAGCGCACCCCTTGCCACCTGAATCACAGCCACGTGCAATAAAATAGTTAGCTATACCATACACATCTAAGCAGTACAATAAAATAGTTAGCTATACCATACACAGCCAAGCAGTACAGTAAAGGCAGAAGCATGTCACAAGGCAAATGGTTCCCGTTTTTGAGCGATGGGTGACACGAATCTTAGTTGTCCATCCTTTTTGTGGTGACAACTCCACATGACTATGGCAGGTACCAGTTATCCTATAGGGCAACCACCGTTGATTTCCCACACCAGGAATGTCTAATCTTTACTCGGCAATTTATTTAATGGATTATGCAGTGATTACATAATGCTGGCAGTGGTTATGGCAATAATGTTGATATCGGTCATGATGATCGTTATAACAGTATCACAATCGTGATGTTAATGGTGAAAGCAAAAATTGTGGTAATGTTCACAGAAAGCCACAACATACCAACAAGCACTACTCCGGCCAAAATATTAATTGTGAATGAAAACCGTATGACAATAATAATAATGCCACTTCCGTCTCACGCGGTCTTACATTGCTACAATCTAAAAAAAAATACACATCCACGATGCAATGACACAATTTCGCAGGCTTTACAAAAAGGTCATACTGTATTAACACACATGCATACAGTATGTACATGCAGTGTGCATATATTCACCAGGCGTGAGACAAAGTCCCCTATGAAGTCAGAGAAGAGAGCGAAGGGCATTTGCCCCTTCTGACCTTCCCAAGAGCAACACCTTGGCTCTTGCAATTAATTTCACACAACAACCAAAAACGAATTTCCATAATGAAACACTCATCACATTACGCAGCACCACACACACACGCGTGAACCGTGGCAAGGCAGCTTTCCAGATACAACCATACGTGTCAGTCTAATCCAAAGCCCGACGAATCCCTTGATCAAGACAATGGAGATAGGGAGCTAAAATCCAACGAGGCCAAACCCGTGGCCACCACGGACTATTATGGGTCCGGGGATGGTTCAATCAAGGTCAAGGGGTCATCATCACACCTCGCCATCGCTTCTTTCATTCTGTCAGATCCCGTCATTGTTGCAAGGTCGACATCCGACATGCAAGGACCACTGTTTCATTTACCGTCCTTCAGACTTAGCAACGACCACCAACCAAACCCCTGAGATCACAAGATCGTCACGACCAATATCAGTGGTATCACCAAAACCTCGCCATCGCTCCCTTCCCTCTGCCAGACGCGTGACCTCCGAATGTCTAATCGTTAAGTGCAGCCTCATAAATATCATTAATCACGAACCGACCATCTGAGGTTACAAGAGAATATCATAATCCCATGCTTCGTGACAAACACGAAGCATGGGATGTTGATATTATCTTGTAATCCCATCCCCCTGTCAGGCACCTGACCTCCAAAAGGTGATTTATTTTCACTGCGAATTAATGAACGGCGTACGAGATCAATCCTAACCAAACCCTGACATTACAAAGAAAAATGATCACGGCCAAACGCCACTGACGCCCACCACCACCACCACCACTAACATCGCCATCGCTTCCTTCCCTTTGCCCGGCTCAACGCGACCTCCAAACAGCGGCACCCGGTCCGGCTCTGTCACAACCACGAGCTTCAACACGCGATTTCACCTCCCTCACTCCATTCATTCGTTGTCATTCCCCTAACCACCACCACCACCACCACGGGCTACTCGCGCCTCGTGTTTCTCTCCCCGTACCGAGCGGCATGAGTGGCGGGCGAGCGCCCTGGCGACGGTGGAAGAGAGCCGTGCGGTCAGCATTGCTGTGCGGGGCTGGCGAACAAGAAGAAGATGGAGACTGAAGGCGCGTGAAGGGCGCCCGGGAGACACCGCGACGCCCCGCCCCCCGCCCCGCCCACCTGACGCAGGTGACGTCACTCAGCCCCACACCACAGACGCCGCCTTACCCCGCCATCTTGCTCAGGGGCGGGGGTGGGGAGAGGGGTGTAAAAGCTCTGCGGGGCGTGCTTCGTCGGCGGCCGTGTGGCCTAATGGATAAAGGCGTCTGACTTCGGATCAGAAGATTGCAGGTTCGAATCCTGTCAAGGTGGGGGAGGTGGAGGGTAAGTAATAACCCCCCCCACCCCACCCACCCGCTCTGGTACACTCAGCCCCACACCAAAGCCACGGCCTAAACCCCGCCATCTTACTCGGGGGCGGAGGGGGCTCTCGGCTCACCCATTGGGAACGCGTGGAGGTTGTTTCCCCCCTCCCACCCACCCACCCCGCCCCCCCTCCCACCCACCCCGCCCCCCCTCCCACCCACCCCGCCCCCCCTCCCACCCACCCCGCCCCCCCTCCCCCTGAGAGCGTCATCGACTTGCGGCAGAGAGACGTGTGTGCGGGGGGGGGGGTAATAACCACCCCCTACCCCCCTAGCAAAGATGGCGAGCGAATTGTCATCAACCCTCGATGACGTCATTGCAGTACGCAGCGGTGTCGAGGGAGTTCGGGGGGGGGGGCACCGGCACCGCGACCTACAAATCCGTATAGCGGTTAAGCGAGCGCCGCCGCCTATTGGCGGCGGCGGTCACGTGCGTCCCGCGTTGAAGGAGGGTGGGGGGGGGCTTATCAATAGCACGAAATGTAACGTCCATGCTGAAGGTGACGTCACCGAGCGTATTTTAACTCCTCAAATGAATTGGCGGGGCGCGTCGTCACTAAGGGACCCGTTGCTTACGGAGTAGTTGCCGAAGCGATTAAAAAGTGGTTGTTTTGTGTGTGTGTCTTATTTAGCACCCCCCTCTCCAGGCGTATCGGGACAATTTTCGGGGGGGTGGGAGTTACGGAGGGTGGCTGCGACGTGGATATTAAAAAGCTCTGCGGGGCGTGCTTCGTCAGCGGCCGTGTGGCCTAATGGATAAGGCGTCTGACTTCGGATCAGAAGATTGCAGGTTCGAATCCTGTCACGGTCGAGACTCATTCTTTTAAAAGTGTCATTTTTCTCGCTCCCGCCTTTCCCAACACCCCCGCACGTCCTCCCCATCTCGCGCGACGTTACGTATAGGAGACATTTCGCGGCGTAATAATTAAGAGTGTAAGGGGGTGACCGCATTACGGAGCTAAAAACGAAAACGTGAGTTCAAAAACAGCGTTCACACTTGGCGGCGGCAGCGGCGGCGCGCGTTTTGCTTGCAGCGTTTCGATGGCGCGTTAAGTGACCACCGACAAAGCGCGATCGGCCTCCCCCCCTACCACCACCACGCTGTACGTGAACGATTTCGACCAGGTGAATTTATTTTTTCCAAGAGCCGCTGGGTTTCCCAAACACCTGTGTGGGTTATTTACGGCGCAGGTAACAGCTGTCGATCCTCAGCTTCTTTGCCAAGGCGAGCCTGCCCCCCCCCAGGCAGTGAATTTAACGTGTTTATGTAATTTTTCAACTTTTTACGAAACTTAGTGCCCCGAGTAGCTCTCGACGAGGCCAATCGATTGACCACTAGTTTTGTTGTCGGTAAGGCAAGACTCGTGTCTGGCCATTCCAAGATCCATCTCGCTTCATGAGATCCCGAGGTCGTCTCGTTGCTATCGTCTCTCTCCTTTGGCTGCGATTCCAACACCAGCCGTCAGCCAATCAATCATCCCGTCCGTCTTAGCCCCATGATGTGCCCTGCCCAAGCACACTTTTCTCAGCGGTGAATACAATATCTGGAGTGAGTACTGGGCCACTTTTTGGGTACGTCAATAGCAGTTGTGCTATGGAATGTGGAATTTATACCACCAATGTTGTTGGACAGTTGTTGGAATCGAACCATGTTATTGATCAACTTAATGTACGAAATTATTTGTTCGCAGGCGGTGGCAAGCCACAAGCTACCCCCCCCACTACAAATCGCCTTGCGAGCAAGACGGCTCATTAAGTTGGATTGAGTATCCCAGGGGCTCCCAAGGATTACGGAACTCTGTGACCGGGCACGGAGAGGTGCAAGGGCAAGGCCCAGAGATGACGTCTCCTGTGGGGAAGACCGACCAACATTTCGTGGGCAGGGACTCGACCGCACAATTGCTTCAACAAATGGCTGTTTTGCGTGCGGAACTCAAAAATCTACGGTAAGTTATAGGAATAGGTTTTACCCTTTTAACTGGCACAAAAACTGACACCTTTATTCAAGGCATCATGTTTGCAATAACCACAACACAAGCAGTCAAAATGCAAACAAAAAAGACAACTCTGATAATAATATGCACTGTCCTTGAATTTGATTGGTCCACACCCGAGACGGCTTTTCTTAGAGCCTAGTCTCCATTGGTGTTGGGCCAGAAGACGCCAAAAGGTCCAACACCATTGGAGACTAGGCTCTAAGAAAAGCTGTCTAGGGTGTGGACCAATCAAATTCAAGAACAGTGCATATTATCAGAGTTGTCTTTTTTGTTTGCATTTTGACTGCTTGTGTTGTGGTTATTGCAAACATGATGCCTTGAATAAAGGTGTCAGTTTTTGTGCCAGTTAAAAGGGTGAAACCTATTCCTATATCTTGTTACTGGCAAAGGAGGTCTCATAATCTACGGTAAGTTCCTCGGCAGTCGTCTTGCCCGTGAACGTCACCCCATCGATTCCTCCACCCACGTTGTGGTCTTTCGTCGACCAGACCGCGTGTCGTCTCGTCCACTCTGTGTTCAACCACCACACTGCAGGTCCTCTGGCAACGCTTCCACCATCACACTGCTGCACTTTCGAATGTTCTTTAATCGTCTCTTTTCCAAGTTTGTGTAACATCGCTCAGTAAAAAAACACGTATTAACGGTTACCTGTTGCAACTTTAATCATGCGGCGTTACGTTGGCCGTTTGGCATTTTTGGGCCTTCGGATCTGTGTTCGATAACTGCAGTAAAACAAATCCATCTATCGCTTTAAAGTGTTGAGGATTTGTCATGATGCTCGTATCTTATTGTAATTTTCCAACCCGCCCATACTGGACATCTGTGAAAAAGAGCTTCACAGCTCATCGGATTCCTCCAGTATTAATTAAGATTCTGATGTTTCATTATATATATGCCATTTAATGATGTGTACATTTTGGTCACAACTCTTATTTCAAGTGAACTCAATTGTTTATTTGTATTTTTATGGCATGTTAGGAATACAGAGATTTTTACATTTCATCAAAATGATGTGGCTGCACTTGCACTGGTAAGGGTCAAAGCGCATTACACCCTACGTCTCCGTGAGCAGACTGAAGTTGGATCAGGCCAAACGAGTGCACCGCAAGGACGTGGAGGGAATCAAGGCCACGCTGCGCCAGGAGGTGTCCCCAGCGGTCGGCAACGAGACCGAGGCTCAAGTGGCAGCGCCGAGATGCTCTCCGTCTCCAGATGTCTCCTCTCTCGAGACAGGTACATCACACCTGCCACATGCGAGAGCAGCTGCCAGACGAGATTCCCTGACGGCAATCGCAAAAATAACACGTTAACGGCACGGCTCGCTTTAAGTGCATCGAAGGGCATTACTCAGAGTGGTGTAGTGAATGTAGTGCTTTGGAGGCAAAGATCATATACGTTTATGAAACTCCCAAACCCACAGAACTGAGGTGACCAGTTGATGGCAGCACAGCAAGTTTTTTTGTGAAATCTCCTTTGACTCTGCCTCAAATAAGTACCCGGTGCAGTGTGTCAACATCGCCACTGGGGAGACAAAGGCGTCCGGGCGTGGTGCTGGCCAGCCACCCCTCGTGTGTCGTGTTGGTCTTCATAGCTGCTCGCTAACAGCACTTGCTCCAAAAGTCTGTTCGGGCTATACGGGGGATCTTTGTGTACCTCTCCAGTTTTATCTCTCGCATGCGAAACGTCTTGAAACTCAGTGAAGCGTTCCTGGATAAATAAATGACGTTATAACAGTGAATAAAAAAAACAACGAGATGTTGACTTAATATCAACTGGATGGCACATGTGATAACATCGAGTGATGTGCTGGTACAGCACCTGACATACTATAAGGGGAAGGCAACAATGGAGAGAGTTGACACTGGTGCCCCCGCAATTATGGCGGTGAAGGAATAGATGCTGATGATATCAATCATGACGATGATTTCCGTCGAGGTAAACGGGTGATTATTTTATGCGTAGGAAATCTTATGACACGGCCAGTTGGCTACGTGGAGTCATGTTTCCCAACCAAGAACGGAACGCCTCGACAGCCCTCCGTGTGCGCGGCCTCGCGGGCCCGCGTCCGTTTGGACAAATCCGTGTTCAGCAACGCGGAGCACTCGCTCGCTGGCCTCCAGCACTTCTCGCATGTCTGGTACAGCAGCCCACGACATCCGATGCAAATGCTTACTGTCACGCGACAAACATTCCTCGCTGTAGGTGCCCGCGTGGGAAAGTGCACCGCCGAGTGTTATCGTTTATAATTTGCAGGAATGTTTTGGTATACTGCTGGACAAGAGCCTCCCCCGCATCATACGGGTAGTGGCCGTTGATCATACTTCACCACGTTGGTCGGTGTGGGTTGGCCAAGTTGGGAAAGGCCCTGGACTGGCACAGATATCATTCGTCACTGATGTTTGCCATTTCTGGGAACCGAACTCTGAACACCGGGTTCATATCGCAGTACGAAAAAAAAGGCTCTTTAATAGTTTTTAATTTGCAGGAATGTTTCAATACACTGCTTGATGAGAGCCTCTCTGCACCATACGGGTAGTGGGGTTATTTGACCATACTTACCCACGAAAGTCGGTGCAGCTTGGTAAGAGTGCACGGATTCACTCCCTTGGCTGCAACTCCTTTGTTAGTCTCGACCACCTGCCACCATCCTTCCTCGCGACACGTGTTGAACAGTGGTGTATAAAATACATCATCCCTGCCTTTACGTGGTTGTTTAAGTGCATCCTCCGTGATGTTGTGTCACACAGGATCCTGTTTGTGTTCCACAAGAATGGCCCCACCACAGCTAAAGCCAAGGTTAAGCCTCCCAGGCTAAATGGGCTCAAAGTCGGAGTGTTTTCAACGAGGAGTCCTCATCGACCCAATCCCATCGGACTTTCCCTAGCCAGGCTTGAGAAAATTGAAGGTACGGACACAGCTAGAAGATATGTGTCCCATATACATAATGTCAATCCACTGCTGGGGGTTATTTTACCAAACTTCATGATGCCGATTAGTGTGGGTTGGTGAAGGCAGGGAGCGGTAGTTGTGGGTGCATAGTTCAATACAATGAATATCACTTCCCGGGCCCAAGTTATCTGCAATTTAGCCCATCAGCAGTCACTAACAATATACTTTTTGGATAGCTGTTTCCCATCAAATCTGCTTAGCTTCCCCGTTATGATGAGATCAGGTGCATTTTGCGCAATTTGGTCAGAAGATACAGATACAGCAGAATGGTATTCAGCTGTGTGTCATGCGAGTAGGCTCACCTGGTTAGTACCTCATCGAAGTCATTTATTCCAGCTTACCTAACAGATTGCATATTGTCAGCAATTTGGGCGAATTTTCATGATTTGCGGTCACGATTCGATTCAAGAATCAATATTTTTTGGACATTGTGGTAAATGCTGCCCCAACTGGTAGCAGCAAAGGGTCACGTGAACCCAAAGCATGTAACATATACGAATTTATGATAAATTATTATAACGTGCACGATTTGAGCGTATGAACTGATTAATCGATGCATCATTGCACGCCTGGTTATGTTGTTTACATTTACGATTGTGATTGTTGACAGTGCGTGTTTTCTCTTATCATAGGTGGAGCACTTTACCTGTCTGGAATTGACATGATCGATGGCACGCCGGTTTTGGACATCAAACCGTATATACCGGAGTACGATGTGCCTGTTAAAGCAGTCGACGGTCACACAGTGGCAACGGAGGACCCGGAAGCGAGAGATGCCAGCCCTGATGGTGAACATCTTCGAGTATCCAACTGCGTTGACAGTGGCAACTATGGTAACGTTCACTCATGTGGCTCAGGTGAACCGGTTGTGACCGCTGACGAAACGGGTGTTTGCTTGGTGGACGCAAGTAAAGAGCCTCTCGCTCACGAAACCCTCGAAGCAAGAGAGAACTCGCGTGCAAGCGCTGCGGACCTTGCGACGCCGGCTTCCGAGCAACAGAGTGCGGTGGCATCCTGGGTCAGAGAGGCGCCGGTAAAAAATTTGGCGGTACGCTTCACGCCACACGCCGAACAGGAGCTGCAGCAACTGGCCAACGCTGCCGACAAAGGTGAGAGGTGGCCGCTGTAGGAAATAAAAACCCCATTTAAATTGAAAGCTCTGCAAGCCAAGCCTACGATATCTGGTGTTCCGAGGTGATCTATTGATGTACTAATCAGGCTGCAACCTGCTTAGTTGCCTGCCGACCTCCGCCCTCCAATTTCACTCTTCTCTCCTGCGTAAGGCTTTCTGTTGAAGCCCCCAGTCACCCTTCACTGAATGGAATATTGCTCCTTCTCCTCTACTGTCTGTAGGCTTAGAATTCCCTTCCCCGGCTATCTATGCTGTCAACTCTTTGCCCCACCCCCCTCCCCATCCCTGTTTAAGACCAGGGTCAAGACCTTTATTTATTCCCCTCTGCCTATGACCAACTGCTTTCCTCTCAACTATAAACATGCCGACCGTGAGATGCGGTTGCATTGGGATGCTACGTAAATCCAAGTTGCATTCTATGCACCTTTGAACGCATTTCATTTTGAATACGCTTCCCTCCGTGACGCAGTTTGTGTAAACGTCCACCACTGCTGGCAGGGCGCTCAGCGCTGCGCCACTTCGGCTCCGCGGAGGAGGCCCGGCGCGCGGCGACGGCGGTGCTGTCGGCGGACCCGCGCTCCGCTTACCGGCGACGCTCTTGCCAGGACCAGCTCTTCTACTTCCACCTGGACGGCCTGCACCTCACGTGCTGGTTCGGCGACGGCTTCGCGGAGGTGCTGCGCACGAGGCTCGCCCGCCCCCAGGCCACTGCCGCTGCCGCCACCACAGCTGCCGTCCCAGAGGGAGAATCGAAGGACTAGCGTTGGCCACCCTTCCCCCACCCCCCAAACGTTACTCCCCAAGGAACCGGTGGCGCGAGACACGGCTCGTCTTCGTGGTAGACGCAATCCAACGAACTAATGGCTCTTCGTTTGTGGATACTTATACAAATGATTAAATAAGTAATCATTCAACATCTCATTACATTTTAATTGTACGTAGGCTGTGTGCCTCAGGCTGTTATATGTGAATCTCCAGCTTGAATGAAAATAAATGACCGTAGAGTTAAGGTCAAGCGTTGCTATTAAAGCGCTCTTGTGACGTTACTGTGATGTCGCTCCAAGACATTTGGATGTTGATGCAGTTGACCGTGTGTGGAACCCAGAAAGGTGCACGTTATTTGCCGGTACCTTTAGAAACGAGTGGAACAAATGGAACGGAACAAACTAAACAGTAAATGAGATGGGCAATCCAAATGAGAGAAAATATTTCAGGAATTTAATGATGACTCAAAAAATTCAAGAATTAATCCAATATCAGTGGAGGCGGGGGTGAATCATCATATAAGTCGTTGAAACGTGTAAAACTTACGTCAGTGACATCACAAGAGTGCTGTAATAATTTTATTTACTCCAACTTTTTGGGGGCTTATTAAAAAGAGAAGCTTCAAACTTATGTTTAAAAATAATAATAATAAAGTGTCCCCTGAGAGGCTTAACAGACTGCTGGAGCAAGTGCTGTTAGCGAGCACCTATGAAGGCCGGCACAGCACAAGAGGGGGTGGGTGACCAACACCACGCCCAGCCACCTTTGTCTTCTAGTGCTGATGTTTACACACCGCACCAGGTATTCTTTTGAAGCTTAGACAACTTGCGTCTTTTGGGGCTTGGTCGACTTACGAGACGCCCAGGACCGGTTCAGATAATCGTCACTGGTATTCGTTGTGAGAGTAAATCTAACTCGCGACGCTGGGTTTGTAGTGCAGTGTGCTAACCACTACACAGCCCAAGACACACAGCACAGGTATGCATGTACGTACGTAGCTGCAAGGTAAGAGCTGCTTGATTTTTGAGTCATGTATGTTGAACTTCTTTCGTACCGTACGTAGCCAACCGCGCTAATCAGAGGAGTGGGAAACGGTGTCATCTCAATAGGGTCAGCAGTGCCAATCCCAGACACTGGTGACTGGAATGTTACTTTGACTTCCGTTGACTGTAAGAATCCATGGTCTCTGCTGTCTGCGAAATAACAAACGTTTTCTGGCAGTGAAGAAGGAAAGCCGTGTATTCAAATAAGCGAAATCAAAGTGTTATTTGGAACCTTAGTTTAGAAACAAAGCATGACATTTATTTAAGGTAGACCTTGGAAGACGAAAATAAGTGATATAAATATGTATGTAAAGAAAAGTAGAAGGAAGCAGCAAACATTCGTAAAAAGACTGCGATTCTGGTAAATTCCTGGACATTGCTAAATTATTGGTAAATTACTGTAGGTATGGTACATTCCAAATGTGAAACTGAATATATCCATTGGCATACTAAAACAGTACAAAGGCCCAAATAAGTAGTTTAAAAAAGGTTGAAGTACTTTAATGTTTAATGATAAGAGAGGAAAACCTGTATCATGTGTTTAATATAGTTTTAAAAATAAATAGGCTTGTATGATTGCACATATGCTCAGTCTATGTTAGGCTTGTTTCAACAACACAAAAGAGTTGCCAGGACAGCCCCTCTGTCATCCGTTAGCCAACACACCCATGCCCTGTCTGGGTGAATAGTACAGGACCGAGTAACATTTATAGTCATGAAACAAACAAATAAAAAATATCCACGGACTGTACATTGAATATTGCATATTGCAAGTACATTAAATCTCGTTAGATGCTTACACAAACATGCAGTGGGAGAGTGTAGATGATTGGCATTCACATTTTGGCCCAACTTCAAACATGCTCGAAGCCAGTAAAAATGTTGATTACTGTAATTTTTGATAATATTGTTACATGTGTGTGTGTGTTTAGGTTTTCTTTTCTGATATGAACACTTACAACCGTGCCCGAAAAGTGGCCTTCAAGGTTCGAGCTATGTAGACGCACGTTGACCCAAGTGCTATGAACCCAGTGAATGAGCACAAGACCCCCGGACCTTTACCCTTGATGCGACGACACTCTCTACCAAAAAGGCACCAACTGGATCCACACATACGCAACATGTTTCCTGTTAAGTTGAACTTTTCCATGATTTTAAATTGCCAGATTTCCAAGTTCCTTTCCGATGGATCCACAGGTACTGTTTTGATAGAAACTTAATCATTTAGTCTGTGGGGGAATCAAATTACACTCCCAACTTTCGGCAACGGACAAAGGCTTGATGTTTTCGGCTAAACGCGTGTGCGAGTGAAATGCATATTCTCTTGAACGATACCGTAATTCCATTCATGTTCAATGTTCGTCATTTGGAATTGTTTTTGTATACATTGCCTGATGATGATAGCTACATATGTTTTGTATTTATTATTTGTAAAGCGTTTTTTTGACCTGTGACCTGTACAGCGTAGGCCTGACGTGCCGCCCAGCCTAACTGGCGAGCAGACAACACAACCTTAGCAGTTTTCTCTTCCTCCGCCTCAGTGGTGGGTAAGATGGTATTAGGCTGAGTAGGGCACTGTCATCTAGAACAGAGGAGGAAAACAACTGTTATTCAATAACAATATGGTAATTGTGCTTTAATATAATTTTACCGTTTGTAAAACATTATGGCCCGTACAGTCATGACTTTGACTTTTAGCCTGTCAAAAATGCAATGTTCAGATTCATCCTTAATGATCACCTTGTAGAGGTAATTGAATAATGAATTCAAATCTGGTGATTTTGTTTTTACTAAAGCAATTGCTAATTGATTATATGGTGGATTCCTTCTGCAGAGGAATTATTTATCAAAATGCACGTGGCTCAGAGCATTACACCTCGTTTCTGAGTAGCTACATTTTATTGTTGAAATAAAACTTAATGCTTCCTAAACCACCAGTGTTGCTTGTATTTTGTAACCCATCAAATAGCTATTCGTAACCCAGAAGAGAGTATACGAGTTTTGTTTTATGTTTCATTTAAACAATCATAATTTAAACTTGTAACGTGCCACGTAGCTTTCATGCACTTTCGATGAGAGAATAACTCGGAGGCACGAGTCGCCGCAGACCAGTGGGAAAGGCAATCACTCAGTGAACTGGTGCTATTAATTGCCCAAGCTCTGCAGTCCTCCATATATTAAGTTATTTTCAGCCAATTAATAAGTGCTTAGATGTGGGAGAAAACCGGAGCGTCCAGAGAAAACCACCGCATGCAAAGGAGAAACACTTCCATAACAGACGTAACAGGTGGAGTCCACATTTGCTGTACCGAGCCATGGTACGGGTCCTCGACGCCCACGGGAAGGGAGTTTCAAAACATTTATGATCTACCAACCCTCGTCTCCACAGTGCTGGATTACAGCTGCCACGTGCGAAGCCACCATTGCCCGGCTACACATTCCTAAGTAGGTAGTGATTTAAGTTCGTTTCTTTAGTAAGTAAATGCACGTATTAATATCAGAAAATGGGATTACGTAAATTCTCGATACTGCACTGATCTTATTCCATTGATATGCCTTGCCTTAATCTCATGTAAGGGATAGGAATTAAAAAGGTTTTAGTTTGCCAATATTTGCCAAAACAAGGTAAAATGCAAGATCTTTGAGTACCTTGGTTTTTAAGTGGAAGTGGCATTGACTCCCTGAGTTTACTGAGCAGAGCTTTCATCTCTCTCAGATCCCTGTAAAAATAAATACATTCAGTTTTAGACACAAAACTGAGTACTGTTTTGTCACATTGAAAGTATTCTAGTGTGTGCAATGATGTACAGTGTGTGCAGAAAGATTATTGTGCCAAACAAGCGTCAAGACATTGTTTAAAAGATTTTTGTTTGCAATCCAGAAAGACAGATCCTTTGTTAATAAACCAGGTAGAGCCCATGGCTAACAGTCTAACTTTGAAGGGGAACATTGTGTGTATGCGTGTTTTACATGCGAGCTTATGGCATTGTAAACTTCCGTGTATAACTTTTGCTCAAAGCGTTCCAATTAGTGTCTGCTCAGAATAAGGGCCTTGTGTCTCTGTCTCCATCTATATCAGTGTCACCCTGTGTGTTCCCCTTTTACGCCCATCTGCACAGGGCCCAACATAGTGTCCATCTGACTTGTGTTCAATGCGTAACAACTTGCATAACCCCTGGAGTCTTCTCCAATTGACGTGTTCTCAAAGTGCATCTAGTTTATTTTTGTACTGCTCCTAACTACTGCTGCTGCTGTGCCCGCAACCGCACCTCTGGGTGTTGTGGATCTCCATCGGGGTGGTCCAGCCGATGTCGGCGAGGTTGGGCGTCTGCGACGCGGCATTCTCGTCGAGGATGGGCGCGTGCGACGCGTCCTGGGCCCCGCGTTGGCCACTCACCGGCGTGCCCCGAACCTCCCGGCCTGCAACGCCGACCACCAAACAAAGATTCTCCCGTGTAGCCTCAACAGGCTGTTGGGGTGAGTGCTGTTAGCGAGTAGTGCCCTATGAAGGCCGGCACGGCGCACTAGGGAGTTGGTGGCCACCACCACGCCCGGCAGCCTTTTGTGTACCTGGTGACGATGTTTACGATACACCGCACCAGGTACTCATTTGAGTCTGAGTCGACCTAGGAGAGGCCCAGGATCGGTTCAGATATACGTCACTGGTGTGGGCTGTGAGCGGGAATCAAACTCGGGTCGCTGGCTTCGTAGCGCAGCACGCTAACCGCTGCACTACCCCTCCCCACGCCAACCACCACCCACCATCATCGCCACAGAGCGATTCACATTTCCCCAGACGAGGTCCAGGAAGGTCATGGGTTTTCCTATCGGTGTGGTTGGTGTAGCTGTCATGGTGTCCACATACACATTACTGTACACGGGTGCTCAAAAGTGAGTTCACCGAGTGTAACGTACGACTGCTGTGTAAGGTTTTAGCGGTTGTGCTGCACGGCTCTGTGATGTGTTTTCGGGTTGTACCGCTGGGTGGTATTTAACGCGACTTGCCTCCAATTCCCACCATTATGAATGATTTGTTCTCTCGTCAGTTGAGATAGACGAGCAAACAAGGCCCCATTTTCAAACATTCACAGGTGTGCAGGACTTCATGACAATTGCTAAGCAGGCATTCTCGTTCGTGAGATGTTAACATTCTTGTTTTTAACAGCACGAACGGACACTTCGTGATCCAAATTAACAGTCACCATATAAATTTTGATTTAAAGCTTTCGTGACTGCAGTAATTCATATTCTTAGCTCTTTCGGTAAAGTCACGTTTATTGTTTCCCTTCAACGTGACTTTACCGAAAAAGCTAAGAATATGAGTCACCATATAATCTAGCATAATACTGATTTAACAGTTAAAAAAACAATTCACAGCCCATTGTCTATCCACTGCTGGATAAAGAAATCCACACGCCAAGTCGGTCATGAGGGCTTGTTTGACCATACTTCTCCATGCCGTTCAGTATGGGTTGGTAAAGTGGGTGCCGCTCAGGACCAGTATCACTCGCCACTGAAGTTAACTGTGGTTGGCAATCCAAATCCGTTTGCAGTCATACCATTTGGTCCAGGAGCTTGCCCTATTTTTTATTACACGCTTTTATTTAACTCACTGTCTGTTGTATCCTCAAATCTTGTAACTCAATTTTAACCCACTTCCCAATGCCTATCGACTGCAAACTTGGTATACTTATGTCATACTGATGACAATAATATATTCTATCATTGAAAATAAAAATAAATATATTTTTAAGCAATCTTTTTTATTTCTTATGTTTCGGATTGGGTCTAATTGTCCACGCTCAACTCACGTTGGCTGTAAATCACCACGGCCCCCTTACGTTATGGCAAGCTTCGGGGCCACTTCCTGGAGTTGTGGAGTTCTGCTATTACTCGTACGGTACATTTCATTAAAGCGTGTTTAAAAAAAAGTATTTTTAAATATTACTTATTCATACTGTGGAGGGCAGAGTTTACTTATTCAAGTGTCCGATTATTGGCACCCGATATAAATATGTTTGCAAAAGAGAACTGCATAACATTATTCGGCTATTATGGAGGTTGTATCTCAGAGATGAAGCAATGAAATCGGCTTCTTGCAGGTGCCAGGCGAATTGAGCCATTGCAGGACTGAGGGATGCTGACAGCTTAGGGAGGCCATGAGGGGCGCCACGGTGGTGAAATGTTAACTACCTTTTCCTGGTATGCAGGAGGTCGGAGTTTCGATCACGACCCCTGGTACCTGTATATTTCGGGTTTACATGTTCTCCCCGTGGCCGCGTTGTCCTCAGGTTTTTTTCATCTACACTTAGAATCAACACGCGTTTAGAGTATTTGGCTAAAATACATTTCCACATAAGCCACTTCGTTGAGCTTTCATTTGTGGCCAGGTCGCAACTGAAAAAGAGCTATACAGCTCGGTGGGCCTTACCTGGTAAAATAGAAAATAGTAATAGTTTATCCAGGAGTGTATTGATCATGGCTGATGATAGTTTGCAGCCTGATCAGTCTAATGAAGTACCTTTCCCTTGCAGCTGGAAGGACTCCATGAGGCAGATGGACTTGAGCATCTCTGAGATGTACATTTCCAGGCAGCCGTGAAACTGGATGTAGAGCCTGTAAATGTCGTACTGGATCTCTCCTTCCTCGGGCCTGGGGTGGAGCAAAGGGGAACGGCCGAACAGGAGAAAACAATGGACCCCGGTTGGTTAAACTTCGGCAGTGCTGGCTCGATGTTTGACTGAACACACGGGCCAGCGATCACGAATAGGGGCACATCTAGCATGCCACCTCGGTGCAGAGTGCACCCTTAAAATATCCCAACAACCACTACAACTACACTACCACTATCAAAATGGCCTTTTATCACCACCATTAACTAAATCACTCCCACCAACATCACCAACACCATAACTATCAACACGACTACCCTCAACGCACTTTACCACTACCATCACCACTACACTTACGCCACCATTTACAACCACCACCATCAATAGTACCACCACTCCCCGCGGCACCATTGCATTAATGTTGTGATTGCGCATTACCCCTGGCAAAAAAGGGATTTGCAGGAATATGATCCCAGAGGTGTCATGGATTTTGATTGTTGAGCTTGGCCCCTGACCAACGTGGGCACCTCTTGAGGGCGGCCATGCTGGTGAGGGGGGGCAATACTGGTTTACTAACACACCACGACTACCTGATGAGGGTGGACACGTCATTGTGGGGTTGCCATACAGGTGCACCAACACACCACGACTACCTGTTGTGGTTGGGCATACTGGTGTGCAAACACAACATGGCTAACTGTTGAGTTCAGCCATACTGGTGTACTAATGCAACACGGACACCTGTTGAGGGTGGCCGCACCAGTGAAGGGTGACCATACACACACCTGTCAACCCATACGGTTTACCTGTATTCTTGTACAGGGAAATTTAGTTTTCAGGTCAATACGGCGAACAGCCCTTTCAAAATGGGCAAAGAAAAGTTTCGTCTATTTGTGTTTCTCCTTTATGATGGGACTTTGGAGGATGAACGTTGAAATTTATAAGGGCACGAGGTGACCAATAAGGTCTGAATTGGTCCGTAATAATAAGGTAGGCACTGATAAGGAGTTGACAGGTGTGTATACAGATGCACCAACACAACATGGCTACCTGTTGAGGGCGGCCATGCTAGTGCACGTGTCGGTGGCCATGGCCGAGCACTGGCCCCGCGAGCGGCGCAGTTGGAGGCGTCCGGCGAGGCTGTCACTGCTCGCGTCCCCGATCGAGATGACGAGCTCGCGGAACGTGGCGACGTGGGTGTGGAACTCCTCCACCATCTGTGCAGCGGAGGTGAGGAGGAGTGAGCCATGGAGGAGGAGGAGGAGGAGGAAAAAGAAACCAAACAACGTTACCAAAAACATCCTGGATTCATGAATCTAACATGCGTAGGGGGGCAGGGGGTGCCTTAGCCTCCTCGAGTGGCTAAAGCTACGGGTTGGGGCCCCCTTGACAACCACCATTAGATGTATTTTAAACAACAGTGTAAAAGAACAAAAACGTAATGTAATGGTGTGATTAGACAAGAAGAGCTGCCGATATATAATAGCCTGGGTGTGACCGTGCGAGACATTAAATATTGGGGCCCCACCTGACCAATCGCCGCACCCCTCCCCCCAAGCTGATAGTCACTACTACGCTACTGGCCAATCCATTGTCTCCCCGAAGTGACTGTTAAGATGTGGCATTTTATTTCTAGTTTTAAATGTTCTGGCCTCATGCTGGACTTACGATAAGGGCAAAGAGTGGAAGTGGTCGGGGTTGGCAGAGGAGTATCGTGGATAAGTGTGGGGAACACAGTATGAGTGTTATACATGCACTTCCGTTTCCTTATAAATAAACTTGTAATGATGTCCAACAAGGAATTGACGGCATTCCGAGAATATATGTTAACAAAAAAAGTTCCATCAATATATAAAAAAATCCAAAGTGTCTCTTACAATATATAACTCAATTACGATTAGTGTCGTGAATATAACAATACAATGAACAGACTGTCTCCGTCCTACCTATATTTTATCTGTCTCCACATGACAAATAAAATAATATTTTACACAGCTCATTCGGCCCCACGTTCATTCTGGGAGTTCACAATTCCAGCGGCTTTGACCCGGTACCAACAACACTCTGGGCCGGTTTCGACTCAGTGTTTCATCATGCTTGCTTGTGACAATCGTGATAAACCGCCAGATGTCACAGGCAAGGACCATCTATAAAATATATATGTAAGTGTAATGACCGAAAAATTACCACAAGCCATATGCAGCCAAACGACAATTTAAAAATAAGCGAAAGTCTCCTTTTGGAAGAAAGCTGCCTCCACGGTGATTGGTCGGGAGGCAGACTTTTAAAGGGATTGGAGAATAAGAAAATAGGATCCGTTAAAGGGAACGGACAGGGATTTGCTAAAGGTACACAACAAGGACAAGGTTCGAGAGGGGGGCTGAGGGATATATAAGGGGAGAGCACGAGGAGTGGGGACGGACGGAGGAAGTCTATAGCAGGGTCCCTGATTGTGGAAGTCTTTAAACAAAAGAGGCTCTTCTTATTACTTTGTTGTCAGAGTCGTTACATATGTATGAGGAAGACGTGGTTCGCTTATCAATTGTATTGCTGTATAAATGTTTTATTCTTAATACGTGCGTGCCCGTGGGGACTTATACAAACACCCAGTCGTGGTACATCATTACACACTCGTACAGCGCTCCAGTACCAGAACCAAACATAGCAGCCCTTCACGAAGCTGACGAGACACGTTTCCTCTCGTCTTGAATCGATGCTGCTGAAATTAAGCACTCCCAAGTAGCCAATGGCGGCTGACGGATTGTGCAATAAACACGTGGAGAGACGCGCACGTGATGGAGACGTCTCGTCGACCTTATTTATATTTGTTATTTATATTCCCCGCAAAAAAAAAACCCCACAGCAAGGTCGTAGCCATGGAGTCAACATTGGGGGGTGGGGGGCGAAATCTTCCAGGGGGTCTGTGGGTCCCCCCCCCAGAAAAAAAAACAAAATTTGAAAACGAATTTCCTGCCTAACATATTACAAAATTAACTAACACATAGGATAGCCATATTTATTTATTTATTCATTTATTACAATAATGTCTAATAGTGTATTGTATCACATTGCTGTTTTTTTAATCTTTTATTTCATTGTATGTAATGGCAGAGATTAGGGATTCATAAAGTACAAACATAACCACAATCATATAAACAGAAACACATTTTATAGCAATATATTTTGAGCATATTTGAATATTGGGGGGGGGGGGGGGGGTGTGGGTGGGGGATGTGTCCCCGGGCTTGCCCCACAGACACGAACGCCGCCGCCGAGAGGCGCTCCTCGCAAAGGTGGCGACGGCCACGGCGCGGCCACCCGTCCATGAAGGCGAACCAGGGTGGTCGCCCAAGGTGTTGCAAGTTAAGTGCCGAATTCGAGGAGGAAAAAAAAATATATAAAACACAAAAATAATACAAATCAAATAACGAAGATGTCATCATTTCAATTCCCGTGCGCGTACAGAGGGAATTATAATTTATTTGTCAACATTTCTGAGAATGTATTCGTTGGACAGACGGACGAAGAACCCAAATAATTACGCCTATTTTTAACAAACGAATAAATACGCTTAAAAACACATTAAACGTAAAATAGGGGGCAAAATGTTTCCCAGTTTACCAAAAACCTCAGCCTAAATCTGCCCTTGGGATTTGGAGGTGCCCATTGCGCGGCTTTGGGGAGTCCCGTGAACGCACTGACCACAATAACAAAGACAAAGAGCCCCCGTGTAGCCTGAACAGACTGTTGGGGCAAGTGCTGTTAGCGAGCACCTCTGAATGCCGGCACGGCACACGAGAGGGTGTGTGGCCAGCGCCACGCCCGGCCGTCTTTGTCTCCCCAGTGGCGATGTTTACACGCCGCACCAGGTACCCATTTGAGGCTGAGTCGACCTAGGGGAGCCCCAGGACCGGTTCAGATTTCCTTGAACGGGAATCGAACTCGGGTCCGCCGGGTTCGTAGCGCAGCGAGCTAGCCGCTACACGACCGCTCCCCACAATAACAAACGGCACCATTAGCAGCAGCGGCAACAACAACACTGCCAACACCAACAACCAAAAACATCTCCTTGCCAATTCCCTGGCGTTCAACGCATAAATGTCCCCTTATGAACGCTCCCCAAGGGCCATCAGCCACTGGCGTCAGAGCGGTTTGGATGAACTCATCGTTGCAGCGGCCAGACGCACGTGCGCAGGTGGGCACGGCGGCGTTTCTGTAGAGTGTGCAGGCGGTGCAACTGCACCGGGGCACCACGGAATGTGGGGGGGGGGGTGGAATTAGGCAAGGAGGGAGGGGGTTGGGCCCGGGGGGGGGGGTAAGGGGGAGGGGGCATTTCACTGCTTGCACCAAGGGCCCACGCCAACCCACGCAAACGCCATCCGAGTAACGATAATGGGGAGAACTTGCAGTATCGTAAGCATGAGTGGAGAAATAAAAACTTAACATACTTTCGCAAATAAAATATGGTAATGATGAATTAGCCTTTAAATATGAAAGAGGCAGCGGTTTAAAGTCCGGGAAGATTTATGAGCGAAATAAATGTAGATTTAAAAACACGTGCATTCGTATTGTCTGTCTTTCGTGGAGTCAGTAGCCAGTGAGGGAATGTCGGTATTCTCTACCTACGTGACTTTACCGAAAGAACCAAAGAGTATGGATCGCTGCAGTCACGAAAACTTCAAATCTAGAGTGAGAGAATGGTTTTGTAAGGCCGATGCGATATTTTTTTCAAAGTGCGGGCGGGCATCACGGTTGAAAGACTAATCTCCATATTTTGACATTTAACTTTTTGCAACTTGACATTTACTGTCACGCCTCAGATTGAAAAGGTATATATATATATTTTTAAGACGGGCCAATTGATGGAAGATCGATCTCTCGCAATATCTATCTGAACAAAAGACGTCCGGTGTGGAGACGTCACCTGCCAAGTTTCAAATAGGCGCCGGCTTCTCGGAGACGTGATGTCCGTGACACGAGCCACGTTAAATATAAAACGGCAAAGCTGTGCGTAAAGAGGCGGCGCAAAAGTGTCCGAGTTTATAATGGGATACAAACTGTGACAAGTTTTACCGGTCGGTTCCAACGATCGTAATTGGCGCGTGCCGTGACCGATTTGTTTTGGCTGTGATCGGTGATGGAGGTTTTCTGATTACACATATTTTGTCAGACGGTGATGTCGCCTAACCCCAAACATCTATCTGTTAATCGTAACATTGGCTGCGGAAAACTACGTGCAAAACAAAGGATTACTGTAATTAAATATAACAATACATACACCTGTTTACACCATCATTGCCCAGGATCGATAATTGCTAAGCAGCCCCACTTTGTGGGGAACAAATAGTGATTGTCATATTCGTGTCTGGTCTCTGTCATAAGAATGTGGAATTTCCACGGCTGGCTCAAGACCACCAATAGATATGAGCAACATTCCACAATCGTCTTAATACGCGTGACCTATTCATTCAGCAAAGAGCTGAAGATGATTTTTCAGGAGATTTCTGCATTATGACGTGTGGGCCAACATGGATTTCAATGTAAGAAGCAGAATATTGGTAGGCGAAGAACAGTGGCCCAAAGGCTAGGGATGGAGAGGGAATTCCACGTGTTGTGTTTTGTTTAATGGCATACAAAAGGTGCAGTAGCAGTCGATTAATATTGGAAACGTCATGTGCTCTGCTGAAACATAAGCTTGCACAAAGTGTTTTTTCAGTCCAGTGTTAAACCTGCATGGTCAGCCACGGTGGCGAGATGTTAATACCTCGCCTAGTATGCAGGAGGTCGTGGGTTCGATCCCGACTCTGACGATTGCTGTATATTTGGAGTTTGCATATTCTCCCTGTGGTGGCGTGGATTATTTTCCGGGTCCTCCGGTTTTTCCTTCCACATTTAGAATCAACGTGTGTTTAGAGTATTTCGCTGCTATACATTTTCACGTGATAATCCACTTTGTTGAGCTTTCATTTGTGGTAGGCCAGGTCGCTTCTGAAAAAACACATTCCTGCGGAGGGGGCTGGTAGGAACGTTGGTTGCTCGGTCAGTGGTCAGGGTCAACGGCGGCACCACGTGGTGTATTCCGCAAATATGCCCGACTGTGAGGGCGGGCACAAGCCGGCGTGAGTAGGTTAAACGTTGAGTTTTATAATCCCGGTTGGGCTTCCAGTTCACTACGTTTCCTACCAGTAATGCCCACTAGGAGCGCATTTGTTATATA